TCGAACAGTTTACATACTTACTAAACATACATATTTCGTTCATATATAACCAAGCGTTCTGCCGACGAGCATTTCAATGGCGAGTAGTAAAGCTACGCGGTCTGCTATTGTCGCTTCTTCAAATGCATTTTTTCTTTTTTAGGTCTTACACAATTAATCTCGCTGAACAGTGTTATATAGCGGCGAACAATTGAGATAACCCCGAGCGATCCAGCCAGCCGATGACACGACCTTAACTAAACGTTAAATCTCTTTAGTTCCTTACAATGAGGCCTTTGTGTGTTGTATGGCATGAGACCTTTGGCGTTTCTCACTCTGAACTGAAAATCTATCGAGTGAACAAGCGACTGATCAAGCCGTAATATTTTCAACTAGAAACATTTGGGCAAAAAGATCGATTTTTTCAATGTAGTCGGAAATCTTTATTTTTAAAGAAATCTTCTAATTTTCTTGTGGTTCAGAAGTAAAATATCGACTATTGCTAGTGAGTGACATGGATTAAATATAGAGCACTTTAGTTCATTTTTTTCACGAGGCGCAAACACTTATATTGCCAGCGTGTTTATATAGAAAAGTTGTTTGCTTTTCAAGCTTTACAAGATCCGTGCAACGTAGCATTTGCTCGGCCTAGCTGCAAACTGTTATTTTTTGCTAGTATATTTCATAGTTGTGCGTGAAACACAAACAAGTTAGGTCTTGTTCAAGTGTGAAATCACTTGCTGCAGAAAAAGAAGGCCCAATGATGTTAATTTAGGTATTTTGCCAAATATTTGATGAATTCCGCAGACCATCAATCCATATTTTTTGGCTGAACGAACTTCTTCTTTCAGGTGAAGAGATACATTTTCCTATGTACGTATATATTAATTTGCGCAGATTGTGCACCTGTTTTTATTTTGGAAATTTTTCCAATAATTTTTATTGAGAACTTTCTAAAGAGCTCTATTGAAAACATACTTGTTGTTTCCAGGTCACAAAGTAGATACAGCATTGAATTTAGGAAAAAAAATCTTGCGATTTAGCATTAGAATAATAATTTTCATTAAAATTTATCATTCACGAAGATGAACAGCATTCATGATTTTGAATTATATATTATTTGGATGAATGCTTTGCTTTGGAGAAATCAGATCTTTTTCTCATGGGGGGTTGGGGGATCGGGGTGTGGTGCTAATATAGTTAGCTTTCGATACTGTTGATGAAATGTAAACACCCTCGATTCCTTGCTTAATACTTTTTATCGGGTCAATAAGGTTATAGGTTATAGGCAATAGGATTAATTTAAATTTGAAAGCGGGATATGTACAACAGGGTGTCCATGTTACAGCAAAATTTCAATGCAGACTGAGACTAACCGTTAAAAGCGAGCTCCGTTATTGCTTTAAATATCAGGGACCATGTAGGGTGTCAAAGGATCAGTTACAGGAAAGTAACCTGGTTACTGTTACGGTCCAGCAATGATGGGTTATTCCTGCGAGATAACCCATCACTGCTGGACCAGGATAATAGAATGATCTCGCTAAGGCAATAGTGCAACGGAGACAAAAGAGCCAATGTAAAGTATATACGTTTAGGTCAGATTGGGTGTGACATCAATGAATAAAATTAGTTAAATCAAAGGCAAAGTGGACACCGAACGAGGCCCGCGAGTTCGTCTTGTGTCTAGCTAATGTTGCTCTCTACTACAACTTGTTGCAAAGTGAATCCACCGATTCGTTAGAGATATATATTTTTTGGGTTTCTATTCTAGAATGCCTTGGTATTTTCAGACACATACTGTATATAGGCACATCATTATTTTTTTCTGTATGTATATCAACCACGATACCGGTCGTTGATTTAAAAAAAAGAGCAATTCTTTGACGATTTGTTGTCTTAATGGGCGAAGTCGTCCGTTTTAAGACCACATTTGCAGTTGGCAGAATTTGGCCTAAGATGCTTTTAAAAATGAGCTGGTTGGTAGTCAGTAGTCTGGTATAGAAGGGGATCTACAACGATACGAAAAGCTACGAGGATTTGCCTAACGCTAAAGGTCATGGCGCTTCGCAAAACAAAAAAAAAAATAACTTGTGCCAGTCCTCCTGTGGTTTACGTAGACAATACAAAATACCGCATCAATGACAATCGCTTTGAGACGACACAGTATTGACGCCGTAAAGACTGCTTCGATTTCAACATCCAAACTGAATTTCTCTATATGTGTACATGTTATTATATTTTCATATATTGAAAGGAAAAGATGTATGTTCAAATCGGAGGCAAATGACGAGTATTCCTTACCGTAAATCTACGCTCGCAGATGGTAGCTTTTATATTATGTACTTGAATTTAGTCTCATTATACTCCTTTCGTTTTTTATCAATGTCATATAACGACGATCGTATCTAGAACACAGACGTTTATGGCTTAGTGATACGGTCATTTCGAAACTAACCTAGCGTATAACCGTTTTCCATGTATAGCTATATATATATATATATATATATATACCCCAAGCTGCCTTTGGCAGTTCAGCTGGCACCTCGAGACAGCTTGCCTCTTTAGCAAGGCTACCTGAACTTGTTGGGTTAGGTGCACGCGGTCAGGGTAACTTTGGACGTTAGCTGATAACGGCATGCGGTAAGTACAGTCCGTCGCGATGCTGTTCGCACGCATCCACGTGGGCATCAAATATGACTGTGTACTCGTAATAATACTGGTACCTTTTGGTACACTACAACGCCATACGCATAGACTGCTCAAACTGAGCAACGAAAATGGCGAGTGTCAGAGCACGAGCACTTTATCAACTACGGTGTTGGAGTTTTCGTCAAATGTTTTTACTTTATTTGTATTTCCATATCGTTATTTTTCCCGATCACAACCATCTAACTAATGTTAGCAATTCATATTGCGGCCGGACGGTATGTATTCTATCTACATAGTTAGAATTTCGTAGAATGTAGGATAGAACTATGCTAAAAAAAAGCTACAAAGTAAGTAAATATTTTTCTATGAACGGAGGATTGCAACAAGGGATATACTAAACGATGAACGCATTATCAATTTGCTAATTTTTTTTTATTGGGCGTAGCCTCTCATTATTGGCGGACAGGTGGCATCGGCTTCTGCCCTCTTTCAACCACCAGATGCAACTGTCGACATAGAAGTTTACGTAACTTGCCGTATTTCATAATTATAATTCAACCGTGGGCAGCAGTGTACTTATAATGGAGCCAATAGGTGGCGACGTCAAACGTTGAGTACCGTTAACGCTTCTAGCCATTCATGCATTAAAAATATTTTCTGAGCAAAGCGAGTTTTACAGACCAAAAAAAAAGCCTAGCTGAAAGTCAACCTATCTTCTGAATTTACCGAAGACGCAGCAACGCTGGGCCGAACGATTCGACAGAAGAGAGCCCCGTGGCAAATTGAGTGAATAACTGCCATGCGATTTTTGCAACGAGAAAACAGAATCGATGCTGGAAAATTCAAATTGAGAAAACTAGAAGACTGTAATGGTATAAATCTCCAATCGAACTATAGTCCATATTTGGATAGGTGTAATGCGATTAGTCAAATTAAATGAAGGGGAAAACAGGCGTGGGGCTAAGTCATCGGGTCCGTCTGGTGTACATATAACTTTTTAACTTTCTTCTGTACATAAATTGTTCGATATCGATTAGTTAAACCTATATATATCTACCCGAAATCGAAAGGCTTAGCAGCTATCAATAACCGCTTTCTATTTTCAATTAAATTTGCCAACTTTTTACATTTGTCAATGAATAGAGGCAAGGTAGGTCGACTACGAAAAGGACACACTGGCAAACAAAGGTATGAAATATAGAAGGAGCCATTCAAAGACGTACCCGCACGAAACCCGTGTAGTGTTACCTTTTATGCGTTGTGGCCCGCAGTTAAATAATACAGATCTGTTTACTGTCAATAATAGCAGCTACGTTCATCTTGTACCGCGGCAGACACAAACTGAAGCAAATAAACAGAAGCTCAAGAACTCCTTTGCGTTAGCAAAGATCCACTATTCAATTGTGATGAATCGTATTGCAAGCTTCACCTTAAATGTGCACCGTTTGAAAGAGACTTCTTTTCCTCGACGGAACTAAAACACCCATTATCGTCAACATTACCCTTCGAATTCGAGCGTAGTTTTTGCTGGCGTGCTCGCTATACATATCTTGGACACCCTGTGCTCCACTCTGAAGCCGTACTGGTAATACGGCCGGCAAAGAGCCACGTACAATTCAGATAGGGCCAGCAAGAAATGTTAACGACGAATCGATGTACCGTTTCATCTGTAACTAGCTTGTCTATTTCGATCGAATAGAGGTGCCAGCGAGAACTCTGGGTCTTTCACTTGAATGGTCCTAATGACACCCTTTAGGCTGCAACGCTCGCCGACTTGGCTAAGGCGCTACCGGGTTTTGCACGATATCTCTCCCTAACCTGACCAAGGAAAGCTGATTTGAAATTTTAGATATCGTTCTAACCACACGAGGCGGTGACCTCTGGTGAGTAAAATGGAAAAGTTACGCGGAACATATTTGTGTTGAGAAGTTCCGGAATTATGGAACTGACTTTCAGCGGAAACGGGTTGCTCTATGCGACGTTGACCGTTACTACCTTGCGCGTTTGATGCTTGAGCAAAATACGGAATGAGCTGCCTATTGCAAAATTGCCGCTGAAGCTTCGTATTCAGTGTTTTGTACACAAAATGGACCCGTACATGTACAAGTCTGTAATGCGAACATAGTAAAACATATAAAATCTAGCAAATTTCGTACGATGTAAGAAAACTAATGGGGTGATTCGAGAGACAGAAACAAGAGGAGGAATCTCTTTGTAGAATACGCATACACTACAATGTGCGGAATGGTCCAGCAACCCTTTCTTGATAGTGATTATGGTCAAATTGCCATATCTGACTTTGGCTTTTTGTCTAAAATACGTAAATTATTACCGAGGCCAAGAGAAAACATGTAGTAAATCGCCACGAACGGCTTTTGACAATATACAAGTCTGATTTATTTTTACTGCCCATTAGAATATAGTTACTGAAGAAAACATCACAAAATAAATAATAACCGTATTGCTTAGCGGATTCATAATGGTAGCAGATATATTGACTTTGAGTATAACGCACCATCTTGTTGTACCATCAAGTTGTATTGGCGCACAAAGGTCGATTTAGATTATTGTAAATGCTATGAGTGGCAACGTTGATAGCGGGTAAATTCGAACTATTTGAGGGGCCTAGGTGGTCTGATTGGTATTGGGCGGAAAGCAGTAGATCCTCCAGTAGTTACTTTCCTCGCAACTTGAGGACTGTCTGAAGTGTTGCCAGTAGGTAACTCCCTCATTGGGATAGTTTCCCGTGAAGAGCTAGGTGCCTTTGACGCAAGGTACGCGGCCAGGACCCGTTGACGTTCCAGTTCTGCGGCCTCGACGCGGGCCTGCAGTGCTTTTTGAGCAGCATCAACACCCTCGAGCTTGCGAGCAGCTTCGTCAAGAGAAGTTGATTGCAAATGCGTAGCGTTTTGAGGGGGTGTGCCCTGAAAGCCACGAAAATAAGGGTGCAAGGCATTTCAAGAGATACACGAATTCAATCTTTCAATGAAAAGTTGTTAGTTTATGATCCTAGAGTATGAATGACCTGAATATATGAGCCGGTTGATAATCAGTTCAACCCGTTTATATCTGTAGTCCCAAACAGCATAGTATATCTGTAGCATGGAGAGTTTTGAACCTGATTAAACGATTTATTATTGCTAATTACTTTTAGATAAGTACTCCTTGCGTAACGGATTCTGTAAAACCATCTATAGTATGAGGAACAGGTTAGCGAGCAGAAAGCCTTAATTGAACCTCATAGATTCAAGCTACTTCGCAACGTCAACCGCTTTAAGTATTAAATTAGTGTAATTCTAAAATCTACCTAAGTATAGTTAGAGACCACAAGAACTAAACTTCAGTGTTCGATGTAATCGTGATCTCTACCTGTGAAGGGGTTCCTGCTGATGGTGGTGAGCTGAACGGACTTAGGGAATATGTTGACGTCGATCCCCGTCTGATATTTAACACCGGCGGAGGCCTGGAAATCGGGGTGACATCGTGATCCAAAGCCCTATTTAAATACATATATAAATATACGTATATATAACCTCGTCACGTGCTTGAGATACACTTGGAAATTACTATACCTTCGGTTTACAGTGTTATCTTAGTGAAGTTACGTAAATCTACTAACTAGACAATACTGTCTTTTGTAGACATAATGAAGACATAACTGCGTAACAAAGAACACAGCTGAAAGGCCAACGAACCTGTTCCTTATTTATGAAACCTCACATTTAAGCCGTACGCATTTCCTAAATATATCATGATCTATCGTAAATAAATACAAGAAGTAACGTATTCTACCTAATGTATGTGTGTAAAGGACTCAGTCTCTTGCAGGAATGTTCTGGTACTTGCTCTTAAATAATAAGGCAAACCCTTGGTATTGTTATGGGGTGATATTCTGTGGATGTCGTGAAGAGCATCGAACTTTCATTTGAGTTTTTGAAGTGAATCGCAAAGGATTTGACTATATCGGTGAAAAAACAGTGTAAAAAAAATGCCGAACATTTAAGTTTCACCGCTTGCAACCGTAATCGTTAGGTCAGATCCGAAAAGTGCTCCTCTTATGGACCCACGGACGGCTATTAAGTTCAGGTAATTAGATAATATTTAACTATATTCACAATTATACACCTACATGAATATAACGCCTGAAATCTGCACTGCGGCGTGGGATATATTGTTATTGAGAAAAAAAAAAAACACTTTTTACCAATCTGACTGGTAAGTGATACGGGTCTAGCGCAACAATCCGCTGGGACCACTGAATTAATCTTGTCCCCTACCCTTAGAAATAGCCTGATACTTTATAAAATGGTGCGTATAAATCCTGCAGTATCTGTTATAAAGTTCGTATGACAAATTGTAGAGATTTTGTAAATAAACGAAAAAATGCAACAAGTTTCGTTGGAGATATTCGGATTGCTACCATGTAGTTTTCAATGCGGTACGCTCAATGCCAGATAGAAGAAGGAACCGACTTTATCCAATTTAAAGCCGACATAAGACTCGCATATCGACATAAACATATAAATGTTAGTAAGTAAGTTATGTTTCGAAATTAGGTTGAGTTAAGCAAGCATGGAGAGAAATAGAGCATCGATGACAGTGGATACGAGTGTGCTTCTGTTACTATAATAGAACAAAAAAAAAAAAAAAAAAAAGAAGAAGAAGAAGAACGCGCTTTTGTTAATAATAGAAAGCTTTATTAAATTAAAGAAGATTTATAATTCTATTAATGTGTCGATAACGCTTGACAAACATTCCGTCATGGTACTGCATGCTTGGATGGCATACAAGCGGCTAAGCAAGAAGCCGACAGACCAGATGGGCAATATTTTCTCCCTAAGTTTCGTTGCCTTAGAGTGTGTATTCTCAATACGGTAGGTTTTGTTTTGTTTTAATATGTATTTGTAATAATTTAAGGAGTAGAAGATGTGAAGACAGGCAGACAAACGAAAACACCCTGTTTATATATTTTTGGATTCTAGACAAGCCTTACATTTTAATGTAAATGAGCCGAAAAAGATGTGTACTAAGTTGCGATGTGTGCTAGATCAGCATATACAGTAGCTCTAGTCGAATCGATTAGCCATTTTGAAGGAATTTCACATGATCTCGGTATTGGGAAGGATCCAAGGCTGTACTTATGTTGATAATAATATTGTAGTCATAATAAAAATCTTCGTGCAAAACACCTGTCCCAACTGAATGTACACCAGGACCGCTAGTGCACGCTGGCGCGCTGTTCACCCTCTAACAAAACACGAAATTGTATGATTAACAGGGAATACTTTATGTATGGATAGAACACAGGACCATAAAATAAATTTGTGGTCCATTGAGATTGCTGCTTTCCCTCACTGAACACCCTATTGGCTTTCGGTTCTGATTCCTCGTTCGAAAATGGCCTATATTTCGCTGCTTTTAAGGGAGCTCGTCATATAGACAAGCACAATAAGTTAGCTTAATCCATCGCCTCTGTAAAAATGCCTTTTACGATTCAGTGTCGTCCTATTGTGATACACATTGGTAGCTTTGGTATAGACTGAGACCGCAAGCTGCTTACTTGGGTTTCGTTGGATTGAAGCAGGTCGAGCGCATAGGCCGCGGGCTGTCGGTGCCTTTTGCAATTGGGACACCGCCTTTAAAACCTGCGCAAGCACTTGGCGTTGGTTTAGCCAATTCTGCATCATCGAGTTTCACGTTCTGCAAAAGAAAGGCGCGTACAGGCGATCGTTATTGCTAAGTCGTTTCGACATGTGGGAACATGTAATACTGAAAAATCTAAGATATTATAAAATTGAGTTTCGATCACTTACGTCTGGGCAGGTGCAATAGATGCGTCCCTTTACTGAGATTTGGATATGGAATACTTTTTATCTTTTTCTTAGCTTCTCGCAGAAATGTTTAAAAAAGATCCCTAAAGAGATACAAACGGCAGCCTCTACTGATCTCTCGTTTCCTCTATAGCAGTTGAGCCTGTAGAAACTCGCTTCAGTTACCGAACGGAGTATTTGTTATAAACACCTTTGGACGCATTACTTTCTCCCATAATGAATAGTATATGCCCTTACAACGTTTCGGTAAGAATGTCCGGGACAGAACACCCGCGTTACTCTTGGATCGAGCACAATTGCTCATAAAGTTAACAAACACTCTGACAACAATCATAGCAGTCGCACATTTTCAAACGCAGTAGCGTCTATCAACGTTGGACCTATGCGTTTTTAGGCGCGTTATTTAAAACACTGTATATGAACACATAATAACAAGAAGTATCAGGTACTTTATTAAAATGTGAAGCACAACTGAAGGCCTGTCCGAAAATAAACGATTATTTACAATAAGCATTACTATGTATAATTTTCAGGGCAAAGCTATGCATAAGGCCGAACTATGTAAACAGTTTAAGCATCTGACCTTGAAGTCATCCAGGACGTTTTGTTTTGGTCCAGGACCCTGCTTAGCGGCAGCGGCATAAGCAGCAAGAATACGTTTCTTTTCCGCATCGCAAGCTTCTTGCCGCTCGCGAATCGCTCGCTGCATCGCGTCCATCGGAGGATTGATGTTCCGCGCTATAGCAGCCAAATCTGGCCCATTGTTCATGCACGTTACGGGGGTGCCCGCTTTAGGCGACTTTATAAGCTCAGGATTATACAGCGAAATCCCTCCGGAAACCTGTATTGGAAACGAATCATACAATTTTTTACCGTTTACTTCTTATTTGAGTGCAATTTAGCGATCATTCCAGAATAGAAATATCTAATCATTGTGAATATATGCTAAAAATATTGCAATGTGCATAAAACCAATCCACGGCTAACTGAGAAAAGCCGAACAGTAATTAGTAAAATACAAACGTATACAGGATGTTTTTAAAGCGTCAACATGAACTAATTATCTAAGGGTTCCATACCGTCGCATAATAAAGAGCATGTAGCTCTTAGAGGCAGCTCTTAATACGTACTTGCATCGTGGGATCATAATCTTGCTTTCCAATTTCGTAGTTGTCAACGTTAGCTTTTCTGAACGCCTCGAAGTCCACTTCCTGTTAAAGAGGTCGTCAACTTACGCATTAATATGTGGTTGTTCTAATATATTGGGTGGTCGAAAAATGTTGATTGTTTTTAAGCCAAAATTGAAGCAGATCATTTCTATCTATCTGCATAATAATACTACGAAGCTAAGTATATGTCATCTTAATCTGTGACCGTCTATCATTCTCTCTGATAACACCGTAATTTTATTTTTGGTGGTTCCTCGGCGAAAATTGTGATCAATGATATTTGAGCCAATGTTTTGAAACTAAGTTAGCACCCTTAAGGAAGTCCTGCGGAGGCAGAAACGAATGATAGTCTGACAGTGTTAAATTTGCGCTATACGACGGATATATGAAGAATTTCCCATTTAAGCTGTATCAGGTATTGCTGATATAATCACCGCTAGAAAGGACATTTGTCCTAGTTCTGGTCAGCTTTTTCTCGAATGGCTTGTTATAATTTCATTGATGGTAGAGGTTCGAATCGGTCGTGTTGCCAGGTGGCAGAAACTTGAAATGCAGGATTGATGTCCAATTCCGCCAAACCTATAGCAAGCACCAACTCCTTTGACGTCAGCCTAACCCTCAGCACAGATTGTGAAGCATGCTTTTTTTCGCGTATTATTACCATGCGTAGTTATTTTTTGTCATCACGTTTCCGTAGGGGCTTGCGAGCGAAAGTGCGATTGCGTAAATTTTTTGGTTAGAGTGTGCGACACTGACTAGTTTCCGTTAAATAATATAAAACTCTTCAGAGACGGATGTTTAATTACTTTACGATATCACGTCTCGGTCCTGGTTCACTTCAGCACTAATTGCATCAGCCTTTTCCGTGATCGGTAAACGACTACAGGGAGGGCATCGAAATTTCTAAAACGACGATCCAGCCCTTTTTTGGATCATTTCTTCCATGAAAAGTTGGAACTCCTTATGGACCTTCGTAGAATTTGAAACCATAAAATCTAACGATTTTTCAAGGAACATCTAGCCACCTTCACAGAATAAAGGCTCTGCAGCAATTTTAACTTATTAACTACTACCAAAGTTTAGTCTTCAAATAACAGCAACGCCGAGTCAACGCGATCCATATAAGCTGAGATACACATGACTTTGAAGCCATCTAGCTAAAAAAGACGGCCGATACTTTTTTCTACAACGATATCGTTTAATACTATCTCACACCTGGAACATGCACGTATCACTATAGCTGCTTCTTACGTGCATGCACTTGCAAGAATATCTATGCATATCTTGGATCATTATATTAGTGCCATATATCACATAGGAAGGGCATGCGCTAAATCAACATGAAAAATCAGAATTTGCCTTGGGAGCTCCGGCGGGTCCCGATTTGGCAGCGGCATCAAAAGCTGCGAGCATCCGCTTTTTTTCCAGTTCGCGTTGTCTTGTACTCTCCTTGATGGCATCTTCGACTAAACTCTGTAATCACAAAAGTCTACGATCATTATGCCGCTCTCAGCTACTATCGGCTGACATGGCGTCTTCAAACGACGGAAAATGGCGCTTCCTTGTCGCTGCAACAGGGAAACCATTCGAACGACACCCACCTGATTAGTTGATGTGACGATACCTTCGCCAGCTTCGCCCCGTTTGTAGATGCCCACATCCATCACCTTCGTACTTCCAGCAGGGCCAGATTTAGCCATAGCGTCGTACATGTCCATCGTACGCTACCAAATACATAATCGAACATTTTCAAATAGCTAAAATATTGCATTTGCCTGACGTGTACAAAGCTGTGAACCTGACAAATTCGATTGTTAAATAAAACATCCATTTTACTTTGTTTCAGTTATGCCGAATGCAGATGATTTATATCGATACTAGAAATGATGGGAAAACACCGATATTTTGGAATATAGATCTGAACCAGTATCATCGATAGAAGCGAATATTAGTTAATCCTGGCAGTAGCTGTATTGGGCGTGGCCCAGTTATTGGCCAGCCCGTTTGGTTGTCTTCAGCACGTGTTCAATCACTAAGGACATAAATGTTAGGCGCCTTATAATGCATAGGATACAAACATTGCATAGGCATACGTTCAAGTATTATGATCCGATGAAGTCTCATCGGATTTTCAGTTAAGTCAGTACCTTGTCGAGCTAATGATAGGCGATAATATTGACTTGAATACGTAAGTGTTAACAGAACATGTGAAGGATCCGTTGGCAGACGTTGTTCTGTTCCCGCTACATTACTATGACTGGCTAGACCATGTAACGCGCACATTTACTATCGAAACATGTTGGCATCGCCTCTTTCTTACACTTTTCGTTTTTGACGCCTCATATAATATGAAAAAACAGTAGCAGTTTTTTTTGTGCTTGTTGATACTCGCGACGTGCTTAGCCTTCGCCTCAGTGTTTCTTAGACATACCGCTCCAGCCGTCACTCTTGACGTTGTGTCGGACGTTGTCGACGCCAGAACGGGAAGACGAGGCTGTAACAGACTAAGAGGTGAAAAAAACAGAAATTCAATTACCTGTTTTTGCAGTTGGGCCTGCGCAGCCTTATTTCTTATTGCCTGCTCACGGTCATCCTCACGTCGCTTTGCCTGAGCCTCGCGCATTTCGCGTTTCTGTCTCTTTAGCTCTGTCAGACGGTTTCGAATCGCGCTTCGTCGCTCGAAGTCGCTTTCCTCCTCGAGCTGTAATCAAAGAAAAACAAAATATATACAATTTGGTCATTACAATTGTATTTATAGCCAAATACGTGTAAATTCCAAGCTTTATTAGGTAATGCTCGGTCTTATTTTCCAGAACGGCGGTAGGTCCTAGATCATCGAAGAGGTTTGTGTCCTTTGCCATTTACACGGCAAGTCGCAGATTCCCTTTCGATGGAGTTCTCGGCTCTTTGGTCCGAAACAGTTAAACATTTATTTTCTAACTTCCTCAACTTCTAAAATCTTTTTCCAGACAATGGATTTCTCATCGATCCAAATGCCCGATAATCTGCAGCAGCCAAGTCTGTTAAATAATGCATACGAAAGAGGACACTGGAAAATTGTCTCTCGCGCTTTCAATTTACGCAGAAAAATCACTTTGAAACTTTCGTTACAGATGAAGCGTCTTTGTTTTTTTATTGGACTGTTTAGCCTAAATTGATTGCTATCTTACATCGTGATGTAATAGGCAGCTTAAACTTAGATTAGTATGCAGCTAAATCTTATTGGTCTAGCAATATTATAATAATAAATCAGAACCGAAGATCTACACTACATGTCCAGTAACAATTTATAACCGAACAAGGCTTAAACTGACTTGATACTCCACCTGCGGCTGAGCACAATATTCGCCCATCAATACCCCAAGTCATCCATCTCGAAGCGTTTTGGATCACACAGAAAACAATGCCTCCCACTGAAGATTGAACTCTTACTCAATGCTTTGCCCTGCTTGGGCATGTTGTTTAGTGTTATTCATCATTGACGTGAGTAACATGTCGAAACATACATCTATCCTGTTGGCGTTAGGTATGAGCAATGAACGGCTCACATATATCCGAACATAGCGAAAAGCAGGCTTCGTCTCAGGACGTTAGAGAACATTGAAACAACTGAAGTTTAACCTGAAAACATATCTGTTATTATTAATGTGTGCCTAATTATTCATACACGAGCCATATCTAGAATATAGGAGTTTGAATTTAATAGGAGTTTGAATTTAATAGGAGTTTGAATCGCTAATTGTAGTCGAAGTATTGTCCTAATTTGTCCTCTCATTTTTTCTTCTCCCCTAAGTTCGTACTGTTGAAAAGAGAAACACTTGTTTGACTGAATGTCTATTTTAAAAACTTTGTTTTGACTTGTATATTAAATAGGAACTCATTGAGGCTCAAGCGAGAATAGTAGCGTTGTAAATATTCCGATGCGAAGCTAATGCTAAGAGAAACGTAACGAAGCGACAGCTTCGAATTTTGTACAAATTGTTTAAATTTCCGATACACATACATGAGAATTGAGACTTATGAGCCGTTTATAGCCGTGAATGAAGACAACCTGCTGCCATTCAGTGCATTGAACGAGCGCGTGTCCGACGTCTTTCTAACAACCCTTGCAATCATCAATCAGCGAAGTAGACAAACAAGGAATAATAACACAAACGTGTCCCTATAGTCTTCTCCCCTAGAACTCATTATCGACGCGAGTAGTCATCTGTAAATGATGATATTTAGATGACAATTTAGACGTTACGAGTATTGCGAACTTAGGACAAGAAAAACAACATGACATAATTAAGTAGGTTCTATGATCTATAAAGATGGCCAAGTGAAGTTTACGCTGTGTTTTTATTTTACTGTTGGCACGGTGTCAGCTTTTTGTCTTCTTATACTTTCCTATATATCAACCCATGGTACAGGAGCTTGGGACACGCCTCCGTTTGTGACATAAAGTGACATCAGATACAGTTCAGGTATGATGACAATAACCTCACTTAGATCTTCACGGAAGGTCTTTGTGTAGGCCTCAAAGCACAAGCAAGAAGAACTGTACTTCTAGCCATGCGCGAATGTATTCACTGAATTTACGATCTGCTCACTAAGTAGATGATCTGAAGTCTATGGTCAAAAATGCACAGATGTCGGTATAGTATGATGGTACAATACGATATACGAAACGCATTACATTGAGATCCATTAGCGACACATTGGTGTACGTAGTAAACTAGTATTTTAAATAGGGAAGCGGTATCAAAGCAGTATCGGTTGTTCTACGTCTTCTAGCATTAATTATCGTCTGCTAATAATGAATATAACATGAATATCCTTTGATGTTTTTCTATGAACTACCCTAAATATTACAGGTTTACTTAAGCGGTTCCGATACAGGTAGACTGCGTATACTGTCACTCGATAAAAATATACATAGTATGCAATTAAAAGTATTTAACCGCACTCGAGGGTAGTAGAATTAAGCTAGTAAGAGGTGCTAGTAGTGTACAGAACCCCATCTTTTTCACTGCTGTGGAAATCGGAATTTAGATTTGCGGTACTCAGTTGCCTGAGCTGATTTTCAACCTGTAGCTGCGTATTATAAGCTACGGATGTCATTTTGCAGCATGACTTTACTGAAGTCGCTGGCCTCGTTCGCCAATCGTTTTGTCTTGATTACAGAAAAATACACAGAGCACGCGCGACTTAAGCCGTCGTTCACGCGTACTATTTTTATCGTTTAAAATATCGAACATCATTATCTTTCTAATTGTAGAAAACTTCAATTATTTTTGTACTTCTCCAAGATCTATGAGTCATTTATACGATGTTTACTTGCGCAATCGAATGGTGTCGAACCCGGTCAAAAAGACCGCTTTCTGGTGTAAAGGCAAGGTTCATGAATGATTACCGAAGTCCTATATTTGATAATGGACCATTTTCAAAGCGCACTTGTCAGAGTTTGACACGCAATATTGTTGATCTTCTTTATTCAAATTCGTATAGCACACGTAAGGGTGACCTAACAAAAGAAAAAGGTATAATTAAATGAGAACTTCTAGCTAACCTCATATTTACTATGCGTGTTCGCGTTTGCGCTTGTTGAGTTAGCGTGAGCTACTTCTCACTTGCGATTTTATATCCGACATTCAACGGAAGTTGTGCTGCCGGTCTATGCCAGCTCAATCGATCTATCCATTTAGCGTAACTTTATTCTAATCAATGCTGCACTATTAAGAATACGTCATCATAGTTACAGTGCGTTCGTTTGAAGGGCTCTCGCATCACGCAAGCGAAGCTAATATTCAGAAAGCGTTGCATATGAGAAAAATTAACACGTTAACTTCTGCAGAAGGTCGTCGTTTGCAGGTTCGAAAGGGTCGTCAGAGCTATGACGGAACCGTTTTAATTATGCTAGGTAGAAAACCTAAGTCACAAAGATACACCCTTTAGTCATTCTTGTACTCACTCAAAGTGCTACATGAGGCAGATGATATTGTTTATACATCGTGAATCAAATAAAGTTACCCTTTTCACAAATATGTCGATCGACCTGCATCGTAAGTCACTGTAGGTCAGCTGAAATTGGTTATGTAGATGAATGATGATACAATGAATAGTACATGACCGTTGTTATCAGATAAAAGCCGACGTCGGATGAAACGAAAAACCGTCAAAGATGCCATCACTAGAATATCACTGATAAGGAAAATTTAGCATATGATAATTTTCGCAAGTAGATTCCATTCTGTTTTATACAAAAGGGCCAAGTTGTTTCATTGGCTCATCATTAATATAAATTTAAGTAAGATTAGCGAAGAACACGTGACGAAAATGAATATACCCTTCAATTTTGAGGCTAATAACAGTGCTAGCTACACTTTGAAGGGTGGCTAAACACGTATTGAGGCAGATACGAAAAGAACAACGGCCAAAAAGGGGTAAACGCGAGAACTGTGATCAGACCGGTAGTATTTACGACACGGTAGATAGAAAAAAAAACAGCCACTTTCCAGCAGATACTGTTAAATCTTAGTCCAATCAACAAAACATGGACTATGTTTGAAAGTACCACTTAAATAAAACTTGGAATATCTGGTATTATTATGTAAAACTGCATATCTTATCATAAGAAATATCATTTGGTTACATTCTGTTTTAAATTTGGCGCGCTTCCTATAGGAAAACAATGCAAACATTTGAAAACAAACCGCTGAAGCCCAACCTTTTAAGGAATATTTTCAGCTCATTTCATACTTCATTGAGTAGTATTAGCCTATTGATCAGCTGGCATGATTTTTTAGTTTCATACCTATATCTGAGCCTTGGTTAAAATGTACAACCTTGAGTTGTACGCATAGTCGTACATGTATGCATAGGGCATGGTTGATTTTATAGAATTTTATGTGGCTGGAATATTTCTTTAACATCTTCAAAATGCGGTCTCGAGCGGATATGAAGCTAGTGACCTGCAATTGTTGTTCCTGCGTTTTAGCGTAATTAAGAGATAATCTGTATACACCTTACTTCTCTCTATAATTAAGAAATGTTAAAACAGCCGGCAAAGCGGTTATCCGTAAACTTATAGGTATTCATGCAAGCGTCAGATACCATTTATTTGCTATAACGCTAAATGTTTGCAGTGGAAGTCCCTATTCCTGCTTTTTATGACAGCTAAACAACATTAATATAATCCATTATCGTGTAATGTAACCAATAAGGCCGAACAAAGCACGTGCTAATACGCAGGCAGTGCATTTTTTTTAACTGTACAGGATGTCTTTAGTAACTAGATAGATATTGCTCGATTTCAGTTTTTCGTAAATGCTACTCACCATGTCAGCAAGCACCTGCTCATCTTCGATGGCAGCTAAATTAGTCGCCATTTTTTTTTTTTTTTTCTACGAATGTTTAGTTTTTCGCTGACGCGCCAATCACGGGTGAACCTTTTTGTTGGACATACGTGTACTCACTATCTTATCACCGTACACTATTATAATCTAGCCTGAAGAAGGTGTAAAGCACTAACGGTTCGGATTTTCTGCTCAGCCTCTGCTAACACTAGCGAGGAAGACAGGCCGGCAGCGCCTCGATAGCCCTACTGCGAGCCTAACAGCTGGTTGTTTGCAGCACACTTCCTACAGCGTAGGTACAACGTCTAGGTTTCTAGGTATAGGAGATGTACAAAGTGGGTGCACATAGCAAGACGCCGTATTGCCGCCGCCGCCGCCGCCGCCACAACCGTGTGGTCGATGTGTTTGTCTCAGGCTGAAGTCGTCTACGTCGATGCGTGTTCCCTTCTCTTTCTTTTGGCTGCAACAGGCCTCTAACCCACTCTCTAATCACAACAGTGCCTTGCCGGTCAATGAAAACAACCAAACTGTAAGAAACGCTAAGGGCTACGCGCTGTTTTCGAAGGGTCCGGGACTCGACAAGAAGGTCTGTAGGGTCTCTCTCGAGGTCCCAGTGCTTTCTCGTTGTGGCCCTTGGTGCTGCCTTAAAGAGCGACGGTTTGCCCCGCCTTTCAGCTTATTCCTGGCGGGGAGGTCCTCTGGTCAAACGCAGCAGTTCAACTCTTGATAACTATATGTCTCGCATTTCAATACCGCAGCTAAAACTCTTTCGTATCTGGCACCTGATCACTATCATTTGTTATACACATTGTACCAATCTTTAGATTAAAGCATATGTTGATTTAGATGAAAATGTGAGTTAATTTAGAGAAAGAAGTTTTATGTTTAATTAAATAAATAAAGTTCGTTTCGCACAAAGTCAGACCCATGAAATAATTACTCGTAAATGGACTAATTCAACTTTTTATTCTAAATACTAAGAGGACACCTCTAATAAACGGTCTATCTAATGTGGGTACTGGATGAGCGACTGGAATGGTCTCTATACATTTAATCACGAACTTACCTTTTATCATGTTCGCTAAAACACTAAATATTAATCAATTTATAATACTAAATACGAGAACAACATGTCAACCTGTTTGTCGTACAGTGTACATCTTGGTGTAGTATTCATATCTCTATGGCATAAACGCAGGTAGAAGAGTCAAAAACATTGGAATACTTTCATGTAGCTCTAGTTTACAGATGATTTTATAAATGTCCGGCGATACGTTTAACACAATAGGACACGTTTCCAGTGAGCGCTTAGTCTATACTTACTGTTGGCATTTATACACCGCTTGTACTTTCTCAGTGATATAGACTTGATTTCGATATATGTAAGGATGTATATCACATATTTCGTTGGCTCAGTTTAATGTCTGTCGTTGTTATTTCCTTTTTATACCCTTCGGTTTTTTCTTCATCCAGCTAAGCTCTAGAGGGGAAAGTTTCAGACGACAACAACACCGACATCGAGCACGACAGCGAACAACGTTAATGACTTCAGAGGCCTCAAGCGAGTTCCGCACCACCTCGAGCTTCAGTTAGAAGGGGAAGCGATAGGGGATTGGCGGCGCGCGAACGGAGCTTCCCTTAGCCAGCAGATACACCACATCCCCTAGAGATTTAAATATTCTTCCCGAAGGAAAAGATTATCATCATATACATTTTTGACATCATAAAGTATGAAAAATACCGCGATGGTTCCAAAGGCAGGCGAAGGCGAGCGCGAATGGCTCTCGCCCGCCACGGCAGCAGCGAATTCCACCTCGAGGACGTGTCTTTATCTGGGTTCCAGTTGAACCAGCCCTGGAGCCCAGTTTGGTGGGTACGAGATTCTGTTCAAGAGAAATAGCTGCGACGGTAGCGTTGCAGTAGGGCAACCAAATAACGCGGCGTTGACAAGAGAGCGGAGAAGAACGATACGATTGCTGGAAAGTCTTTGAAGCAGGCTAAAGAAAATAAATGTCGGCCTTTCAACAGCGAAAAGAAGAGATAAATGTCACATTCTTTGAGAAATCCACGAAATCATCGACGATATCTATTGAACTATATATACATATATATATTGTTTGAACGACAAGGCGCCGACCGTTGGCGAATATCAACTAACCGTCCACCTAAAGGGCTTTATATATCCACTGCCGAAACTGGAAATGCATTTATTATAACGATTTATGTTTTTGCGTCCGTTTCACTCTACCACACCGCTGCGCGAGATGCCTTAATTTGACGCTCAGTGTTTTCCGTTACGTTGACGGCAGTTAGCCGCTGCCGATAGGTGTTCCGAGCGCTTTGCTTTTCAACGTGCTATCCTGGCCTAGATTTTGGTAGCAGCCTTAGAAGCGTGTCTGACTGCTATTGAAGACGATGGACGAGGGCCCGCTAGACCAAAATGCTTGGCACCAAAAGCGTGTTGTGTTAGAGACCTGCTTCGGCTGGAGAAAGCGGATGTAGGCCGCCTTTCGAAGCTCGAATACGAAGAGATCAGGCGGTTGGAATGACCGCGACTCTGAAAAATACGACTTTAATCTGGTGGAGCAATTCGAACCGAGTTACGTCTAAGGCCTCGCTCACTTCAGATTCACCGTAACAGCGATTACTGGAAGCACCGAGAACAAAATAAACTGGTAAGCGTGCAGACATTCGCTCCGTGACTGCGGGGACCGCCTGCTCGACCCGCCCGTCCGCCTGCGGGTAAGTTCCAGTTATCCTAACGTTAGAATGTGCTAAAGACTGCTCGATGTGCCGATTCTGAAAGTAGCTCACATTGTCCGTAACGTCGACGTCTATGATCCCGTAGAGATTCTGAAACACAAGCACAGGCAAAGCTGTTCAACATCAGGCGAAACTTTACGATTTTTGACCTGTCCTTGAGGGTGCGTAGACGCAGATGAAATCGTATGCGGATTGATTACATTCTTTTTGCCGAACAGAAAGATATGGGCTAGACCACGTGCATACGTCGACGACTACGACGCATGCGGGCTTGTAGGAGAAAACCAAGGAAGTGGGTGCATTTCGTTCTATTCAGCCGATAATAGATCTGCAGATTCGCCGCTGAAAAAAACGTAAGCATAAATTTTGTTAGACGAACGAACAGTGGCTATCACTACGAAAGCTGCCATGACAACAGAATATGCTTCAGGGCAACGGAGGGCCTTATTATGTTGGTCTGTCACTGCGGACTTGTTCAAGCCTCCCCCGTCAAGTGTCCGCTAATTGGCTTTAGATAGAATAGAATCCGGCCCGACCCGCGTGCAAAGAAATCACGAGAAGGCCTGAACTATGCAACGTAAAATAGGACTCATGGAGTCGTAGCGGATAAGAGCCGCGATACAAGGACATTCCCCCGAATAAGGATCGCAGAGTTTTAATGTTGCAAAGCATTATAATATGAGTCTACGTCTACATGAAGGCACAGCACATAATTGTGAAGCACTCATTCCTGTCGGTTAACAATAAAGCTAGGCTAGTTTGTCTCAACATATGTATGTAGTAGGAAACGTAATAAACAATAAGCTTATATTTGAAAATAACGGTGTCCATTTTATAACAATGTTTTTGTATTCGAGATGCGCTTGTACTTTCTGAAAGCTATTGGCGTTCACTTAAATATTATCACTCACTGTTTCAGCGGGCTAATTGTAGGGACGTTGAACAGTTTAAAAATTTTAGGGCTTTACAGATATATTTACAATTCCGCCAAATTAATAAGGTCAAAAAGTCGACAAATTCACACCATATATTTTGAACGCAAATTAAAAATAAAGGCAGAGACATTTGTTTCTCTTTACTCGTACATACGTACACCTGCAAAAGCTCATGCTGTATCTCTGGTGATCTAATACTGGTGTTATTCTACTAGGTTGAAAGTGTATGTTAAACGTTGAGGTGATGAAAAGACTCTGCTATGTCCAGCAAAACAAACAGATCTAAATAGAACAATTTAATGATTTAACTTAATCAAGAAATCGTTTATTCAATTTTTATACTGTTAGAAAATATTGTATATGGATACCCGAATAGGCAATTTATATTTAAAACGTTTCGTTTAGGTATTGTGAAATCAATATCGTCTCATTCGTGCAGAGTTTGGCCCGTTTGTTGACTTCTATGAAAATAGCCATATTCAGCTGCAGTTGTTGCCTCGTGAAATTAGCCCTATAGAAATGGGCTATGTGAAATGTGAAAGGATTTTCATGTTTTTTTTTTTTTTTTTTTTGTTACAGATTTGAGATATACGATCTTGCAATAAATATATACGAGTGAAGCCTCTGTTCAGCCGTGGTCCCTGAGACGCTGGGTTTCACATTGTGTTACTGTTTCTGAGCTCCGGTAAGTACCTCTTCAAGCTTATAGTCATACAATTGCTTGCAGTTTCTAAGATTCTCCCGCACCCTTTGTGTTGCTCTAAATACTGATTTGGTAGGTAATACTAGAGGGTAAATAATAGGGAGGTTCTACCTGTTGCGACCTGTCCCAGATAGCAATGCTGAAGTCATAAGCTGTTACCATTAGATTATACAGTTACTTGCAACCAGGTTTCGATCTCAATTGAAATAAAAAATGTGACTCTTCAACGATTCGGATTGACTTTTTGTGAATAGATTTAACTATTTGGCAATAAAAAGATGACAAAAATCAATAGGTTTGACTTCATGATTTAAGACTTTACATGGGCAAGACGGAGGCGTGGAAGATAAAAGATCATACCCCATCACGCACATCTTTCCACCGTTCGGACACCAGTGAATAGTAATCAGTTTAGCATGCAATAGCGCTCGTAAGGTACTTAGGTTTCTCGTTCGTTCGTTCGTTCGTTGTGTAACAAACGTACTCGTGCGGGTAAACCAAAACGGAATCTCTTCCGCTTGACTCTTACTGTCAAATGCTTTATCGAGACCCTTATGAAACATCTCTATTTGAGCTAGGGGTATCGTGCAGCGTATCCTGATTAGAAAAAAACGCGGGTATGTTATGTTCCTTAAATATTAGTCATACGTATTCTAGTGATACTTCAATGGTGATGCGACTTTTTACTAAATTTAGGAGCGCATCGTAATTTAGTTGGAAACCGTGCCAAAACGCATTTCGTATCGTACCGGGATTCAGACGAGCGAAAGCTTGACTTACAATTAAAGTGTGCGTACAAGTGGACAAGTGTTTTTGTTGTTCTAGCGTCTCTGTGTTACAGTATGTTTTTGAGACTAAGAATGTTCTGTCAGAAACAGAGTGCGTGGATGTCATAAAAGGGTTACTTTTAGTTGTGAAATTGAACTTTCGTACAGAGTAGACCCATATCGTTTCCTATTAAAGCCCATAGGTCGGCTATAATTTAGAACAGCATGTCTCTCATAATCCACTCCGATATTAAAATAGACGTCAGTCAAACTTATTTATCCACTTTCGTCAGGTGACATTCCAAATTTTTGCCATAAATCATACAATCAACATATTCTAAATAGTATCTATACGCGTGCCGTTAAAGGCACTTTCAACGGAAGCGGTGGTACGAAATCGGTCCGAAGGTCGTTCCACCAGCGTCTACCTCAAAGCTGCAAACTTAAAGGCACGGG